AGTTCAATCTTTCTGTATTTTCTTAGTTAATTATTCTACAGTTATATGGAAGTTTGTAGATGTTGGAGAGGGAGTTCAATCTTTCTGTATTTTCTTAGTTAATTATTCTACAGTTATATGGAAGTTTGTAGATGTTGGAGAGGGAGTTCAATCTTTCTTAATTTTCTTAGTTAATTATTCTACAGCTATATGGAAGTTTGTAGATGTTGGAGAGGGAGTTCAATCTTTCTGTATTTTCTTAATTAATTACTCTACAGTTATATGGAAGTTTGTAGATGTTGGAGAGGGAGTTCAATCTTTCTGTATTTTCTTAGTTAATTATTCTACAGTTATATGGAAGTCTGTAGATGTTGGAGAGGGAGTTTAATCTCTCTGTACTTTCTTAGTTAATTATTCTACAGTTATATGGAAGTCTGTAGATGTTGGAGAGGGAGTTCAATCTTTCTGTATTTTCTTAGTTAATTATTCTACAGCTATATGGAAGTCTGTAGATATTGGAGAGGGAGTTTAATCTCTCTGCACTTTCTTAGTTAATTATTCTACAGTTATATGGAAGTCTGTAGATATTGGAGAGGGAGTTTAATCTCTCTGTACTTTCTAAAACGTTTTGAAAGTAATGATATGACATTACGTACAAAAATTTTAACTTAAAAAAATTAGTTTTGATTTACAGCCCACATGTCGTTTAGATGTGTTCAGGTTATTTTAAATGTCATTAGATAATCTGCACGTTATCAAACTTACAGAGGGAAGACATCGAGATTTTGGAAAGGGGATTCTTTTTAGGCTTTACGAGGCAACCCGTTTGGATATTAAAAGCTAATTTTAGCAAGGTTTTGGTTCTTGGCTTTTTTGTTTTTTTGTTTACTTTTTTTCATCAAACCTAGTAAAGACCCTCACAACAACACTGTGGATTACGTTTTCCTTTGACTGGGTCAGTTGTGACGTCAAACTGTACTTCAGCTGAACTCAATGTATAACTGGTATTGTATATATTTATATTAACATGTAATCTTGTTTAAGACTTTCTTTCTATACACAGAGATCAGAATGGTTGTAAACTCTATCTACCAGCGTTGTTTTTTCAACCATTCCAATGCAAAACTTCATCTAAAAGTTTGTTCTGTATCGTTTATAACTTTAAATGTTTTAATGAATTAGATTATTGAAGCTCCAATTTATTCGAGAGCGTGTTATGTTAAAGGAATCAGCAGTGTATAATATCCATATAATTTAAACTAATGATACGTAATTCCTTATTTTTGTTTATAAGGTAATTCAGCGACGAGGAAACTTTAGTGGAGACCTACAGGACTTTAATCAAGACTGGAATATCTACAAGCTTGGTTTCGGTCGTCTAGAGGAAGAGTTCTGGCTAGGCAACGAGAACATTCACACACTTACCAAACAAGAAGAATGTGTCCTTCGGATTGAATTGGAAGACTTTGACGGAAACCAACGATGGGCAGAATATGTTATTTTCCAGGTTTTTGGAGAAGAACAGCAATATCGGATTTCTGTAGATGGTTATCGCGGCAATGCCGGTGATGCCTTGGCAGATCGTTGGTATGGAATAAACCTGTTGCCATTCTCCACCTTTGACAAGGACAATGATCGTTCTCCTCTTCACTGTGGGCAGTTGATGCAGAATGGATGGTGGTGGCGGAGTTGTGGTAGAAGTCTGAATGGTAAATACTCCTCTAACCCTCGCAACAAGCACGCCAGTAAGGGTGTGGTTTGGTTCCGCTGGCGGGGATGGTATTATTCCTTAAGGAAAGTAGAAATGAAAATCCGTCCTCAGTGGTTTTCCACTGCATCTTCGCTAATTTCCGAAACAGAGCGTTTAAAAAGGAGATTTCGGTTCCCTAAAGCAATGCCGTAATCCCGGTTTTCTGAAAACATTTATTTTAATTATCCTGGAAAATGAGCTTTTAAGCATGATGAGACATTTGGATTTGTTTAGAAGTGAGACAGTATTTTCATGAATTGTTGTTAGTATTTTGAATACGATATTGTAAATTTTCATCTTAAAACAGTGAAATTGTTATGTGTATTAAAACAAAGTTGTTTCCAATTTGTGTCATCTGTTTTGTTACTGAAAAGTGACCTCAACACTCTAAGATAACACTTTCTTACTTATTAGCTCTCCGGTGTTCTGTTCCCAAATGTTTTCTTTATTCAGATTGTAAAACGACACTTCTTCTTTTTGATGGCAGTAAGCGAAAATTCGTGACTTTTTTTATTACCACTTCTAAAGAAAGATGCACATTTTGTTAGATTTTATAAATGTTTCTTACAAGAGAAACTGCTTTCCTAAATAACATGATTTTAACAACTTCCAATTAGAGACGTAACGTTTCTAAAAATAGTAAGTAAAAAAGAATTTAAATCGGTATGGTTTCTTATCAGGTTTAATATGTGTTAAGGATTCGAAATTTCGAACGGAGTAAAAGGCAATAAAATGGATTCAAATAACAGAGTTTTTATACTTTTCCTGGTTTTTCTATAGATATAATTTTCTAAACGGAATAGCTTCGAAAAACTGCACATGAAACGATTGTTTGTTGCGATATTATAGAAATGATATGACTTTCTTTGATCACACTTCTGAAATTGATTTCTTTTCATGAATTGTCACATATCGGATCAGTTACTGAACAAACTGCTATAGTAAGAGCTGTACCTTTAAAATATTATAAATCAATAGTAAGAGCTGTACCTTTAAAATATTATAAATCAATAGTAAGAGCTGTACCTTTAAAATATTATAAATCAATACTGAAGAGCTGTACCTTTAAAATATTATAAATCAGTACTGAGAGCTGATACCTTTAAAATATTATAAATCAATAGTAAGAGCTGTACCTTTAAAATATTATAAATCAATAATAAGAGCTGTACCTTTAAAATATTATAAATCAATAATAAGAGCTGTACCTTTAAAATATTATAAATCGTAATCTTTATTGATAGTCCTGCCCTCGGGTAGCTTCGCGGTAAGTCTCAAGGCTTATAAGGCTAAATATCAAGTTTTCTTACACGCGGTGGGCAGAGCACGGATAGCCCATTGTGTAGCTTTGTGCTTAAGAACAATCAACCTGATAGTCCTTTTAAAGCACATAGAGCAATTTCGTCTTATGGAAGCATTATATATAAACCTGGAATAAACTTTTATTCGTAAAAGTTACTGTTCAGTTTCGTACCTTGGGATCACATGGGATTTGAGACTAGTGGCGTCATCTATGGGTAAAAACTATAGTTTGTTTTTTGTCAAGCGGCAGTGCTATAGTTCTATTCAATGAAAATGCTACTTTTTCATAACAAAAACAGAATAAGATAATGAAACAGTTATTCTAAACAAAGCTGACGACATGGCTAAAGAACGTCAGCTAACATAGGTTTTTTTATCATTGAGAGGGATAAAATATAACCTCTTCTTGCACAAAATTGCATAGTTTTGAACTTCAAAATAACCTTACAACAATGATGAAAAAAGTGAAGTACGCAGTATTTCAAGCAAACAAGAGATTATTAAATTTCCTTTCGCGTTTTAAGACACACATATATATACCTATATGTTGCATATGCCTTTGTATGGAGTTAGGGAGATAACCCTTATTGTCGGAGGTTCAATTACACCCTTTGCAACTCCTACACACCAATCCCACATACTCGCGCCTGTATAGCTATCCATAATTTGAACTAATAACGAAAGGTAGGGTAGCCACTTAGCAACATCTGCCGCCAGAAGAGGTTTTCCCGAATAAAAGGATTATCTAGCATTTTAATAACGCACAAATAGCTGAAAGTGCCAATCTTGACCATTGGATCAACAGCAACATCTTCAGCTAAGACAGTTTTATTTTCGAACAAGGTGGTTGGATTTTGTGACAGTTTTCCTTCAGATGTGGTAGACTGAGTTAATTTTAGAGACTTTAAGGGAAAGCTTGATAAATATTTGAATGATATGGGTTAGCTTTGAATTTTGAAATGTTTAATTTAATTTATTTAATAGGACGGCCTAGATCAGGGGTGCAAACTTTTTGTGCGTGCGTGCCTAAACCGGCAAATCTCTGACACAAAATTCTTCCGCGTGCCAATCAAAATTTTTTGACAACATTTTTTTAAGGTGTATGTGAAGAACCTGAAGAAATGACAAAAATTCACTCGAGCGGTAAAAATACAGTATATGATGATGAAAATTACATCTTCAAAACATCTTCAAAACAACATCCAAACAACAATAAATATTTACCACTTTCAAAAGAAGACATCATATATCCGTCCGGCAGAAAACTTGCAAAAAACCTTTTTCAGTTAGGGTTAGGTCACTTTCTAAAGAAAACGTCAGTCACATAAAATATCAGTCCGACAGAAAACTTTACGGCTCCTTTTGATATATTATCATTGGGACTTCTGCTGCTGCATCACTGATGACAGAGATTTTAAATCGGGGTTATATTTCGTGACCTTCAGAGATATACACGAACTACTAGTTTCATCCGTCAGACTACTCCTATTACGAGACTTAATAAAGTTCATCACTGAGAACAAAGATTCACATGCATATGTAGATGAAAACATGGAGAGCAATGCTGTTGCAAAGTTTTTTAAACAGGAAAACTTTTCTGGAATGACATTCCAAGTCATCAATAGTTCGTTTTCTGCACTTCTCTCTGGTAATCCCTTCTGTAATCGCTTTTTTCAATGTTTTCCAAGTCAACTCTAAGGTCAATGAATTTCTGCTTCCAAATTGAACTACTCTGAAATTCAATCAACTACAATTCAAAGTCAGCCATGTCAATCCATGAAAACATTTGTAAGTTTAGTTCCTCCAGTTTCATACTGTCTGGAAGCCTCATGAAATTCGCTGTCTCTTCCAGTTCTCTGAATTTCGCAAATCTTGTGAAGAACTGCTCAACAGTTGACTCGATGATGTTTAAAAAAGCTGGTGATGCTAAACAGCCAATCAGGAGCGCTGTCTGACGTCATCTAGTTATGGTGAGGCGGTGGTCTTGTCTTGTCAACGAAAACCAGTTGCGGAGGCTAAAACCAAAACACTGATCGGGTCTGGGAAGAAATCGTTTAAGGTAATTTGTAATGTAAAATTATTTATTTATCTGAGATGCACCTCTACACTGTATTTATCTGAGAAATAAAAAAGCTGCTATTGAGAAAAAGTCGTTAAATGGAGGATTACAGGAGATGGTTTCACGTGCCAGAAAAAATTAGTGGCGTGCCATGTTTGGCACGCGTGCCAGCGGTTGCCCACCCCTGCACTAGCATATCAACCAATGAATGAGCTTTGGCCCACTTGGTGAAGTAATTGATAAAGAACAGCACACAATAATTATATTTCTCCGTTTTAGGCAGAGGACTATCTATATTCAAGGCAATTGTCTCAAGGAAAGAATTTACAATTCTTGCCATGGCCAGATTTCTCTGTGTGGTGTACGTGTGTCTGCAGTTTGTACATAATGTCTCGATGTATTTATATGAATGTAACCAGGAAAACGTGTTTCCAAACATTTGGGATGATGTTTGGCATGGTGCTCTCCAGTCTTTATATTATGCAGAATCCAAAATATCTCGTGCTTTAGAGCTCTGGGGATCACAAGCTATATTACAAGTCAGCTACCACATCTTGGTGGTTCATAACAAAGGTAAGAAATACTCATACCTGACTAAACAAGTGGCAGATATTATAAGCATGAGTACTACATTCGCCAGTTGTGACAATCATGCTTTACCTTCTGCACAACAATGAGTACAAATATATTCGTGGGTGCTTCAGCTGCTCTTTTCAAATTTTCTGACTGATCATTTGTGATGTCTATCCATCAATAAAGTTGTTACCACTTGCATGGTTTGTCATTACTGCTGCTAGAATGGCTTTGACCACTGCACAATGTCCATGATCCAGACATTCGATGAATTGGCATGTTCTCACCAGTTGGTGAAATCATCTCTAAATATTTTCGTGCTACTGATGCAGGTGTCATTTTACAAAAAAAAAGATTTACTCCTGCAACATTTTTAGCGAATGTATAATCATATCTACTAGAATGTTTGAGTTCAGTCATTCCATAAATTAATGGTTTACTCGAATGATTAATTAACTCTTACAATATAAGTAATGGTAGTAATGTTTGACAAATACTACAACTGCAAGCACATCATTCTTTATTGTAGAGCATCGGCACTCAGGAGCTGTTAGCATATGGCTACCATATACATTTACATTCTTCATACCATTTCTTACTTGTAACAATAGTACTCCAATTTCACTATCACTGAAATCATTATCCAGGATGAATTGGAAATCCTCATGAAGATAAGCCAGCATCAATGCTTCAAGGAATGGAAAGCATGTGCACATTATTACATTTCCACACCATTTAACAGCCTTTGTCAATGAAAACACGTGATGCAGCTATCTTTAAAAAATTGGTTACAATAATTGATATGACAAAGCCTAGAAAGCTACAGATGTCCTTTTTTGGTCTCAGTTCTTGGCTTCTACGAGTTTCACAGGATCAGTGGACACTCCATTCGTACTTATTATGTGATAGAAAAAAATCTATGTTTGAGCACATTAGAATATTCTTACCATCTTACTTTCAAGTCTACATCTGTAATGTGCTTGAATATCAGTCTCACATTTTCAGCCATTAGTCCAGTTACTAAGTCCCAATTTAGATTTTAACCTGGAATTAGTGTCCATCAAATGCTTTTGATAGTTTGTGTACAGTTTAGAAGTGCCGATTATGAATCTCAATGACACCACTTTGGCATTTTTGAGAGTTCTGAGATACTCAAGATGGCCAAAACACACATTTTCCCATATCTCAGCTTCTGTGAGAGATAGTGCAACAAACTGTG